TTAATTAACGCATATAGCATATAATATATAACTGTAGTAGAGAAAATGTCGCCACAAATAGTAATCAGACTGAATAAAATGTTTGACGGTTTCGGGTTTACCACAAACGACAATCGATCCTTCAGTACCATATGTCCTTAATTTGGAACCGCATCTGAAATTGAATATCTTTGCAGAGTTTGCACTACCTACGAAAATGTTTTGTGAACAGTTAATCGATACAAGTTCAATATGTATTTTGCATTCGAATCACTGTGAATTAATCTTTTCCAGCTTTTGAATGATATTAGGTATATCAATTTTTTATGTTTTAAACACAAAAACATACAGAAGTATTATTCATCGAATATTTTATAAACAAAGAAAAAAACTRTGGTTTTTATTGAAGTTTCGGTCAAAATTTAAAAAGGTAATTAATGAAAAATAATAAAACATTGATGTATTTTTTCTATTAAACGTCAACACTTTTTTCCCCTTAAAAAAAACTTTAATCTCCATAATCATTTTATGCTTTTAGAAATTATATTAAACAATCATTATATTAGTGGAAACATAATTAATATTTTTATAAGCTAATTAATTATTCAAATGGTATTATATAAATTCTTCAATTTCAAATATAGTTGAATATACAGGATATACTTAATATTAYATGAAAATATAAAGAAGACTTTTAATAAAGTTTAATATGTCATAAAAATTCAAAAAAGTATGTAAATAAATACAATTTACCTGTTAAAATAAATTTTGGCTTAATTTATATTAATCTGATATAATTTTGATGTCAAAATATAKGAGAAATAATATTATAATTATATTTTTTATACTACTTATTATTCGTAGGTATTTGTTTTAAATTTTAATAATAAATAACTCAATTTTCACTAATTACTATTTATATAATGTACAAACAAATAATAATAATACCATACATAAAACTAAATAAAAAAAATTTTTGGATAAAATAAAAAAATTTGTTTATATTTTTCACATGTTTTTCTAAAACTTTTCACAGCTTCTAAAATGTTATGAATGATATTATTATTTAAAAATGACAACATACATACCTATACTTGGTAACTAACTCGTCAATATATTAAACATATACTATATTTATTTTTAACGAATGAGTGGGACTTTTATAATAAAGCATAATATTTTGAATGATAACATACATTAGTTTTTTGCTTCC